CCCTCTCCCCAGTACCTTGCCATATGCATCTCTTCCATTTGGCTGTTCCTGAGTTACATCCATTATCATAAACTGGTAAACATAAGTAAAGTATTTTCCTGAGTTCTGTAAGTGGTTCTAGCAAATTATTGAACCTAAGGAGAGAGGTCATGGCAGCCCCCAAATTTGTAGCCAAGTGGAGAAAATTACAGTGGTCTGGACATTGGCTTGCAATTGGCGTTTGAAGTGAGGACAGTTTTGTATGACTGAGCCCTTAAACCTGTTGGTTTAGATGCAACTCCCAGGTAGGTAGTGTTAGAATAGGATTGAATTGTAGGACACCTAGTTGGTATCAGAATCAGAGAATGGTGTGGGAAAAGACACTACGTATTTATTGTCAAGGAATCACAGAAGCCTCTAATAATTTGAAAAGATACCACATTCACATAAAGACTTAAATGGCAAGTAAGAAACATCAAAGTTTTAAAAAATGTTTACAGAAATCTTAATGCCATAGTCAGTACTAACTAAATCTTAGCATTGGATACGTATGAATGAGTTTGATGCCTACAATAGCACTACGAGATAGCCACCATTAAGTGTTTCCATTTTATAGATGAAGGCAACCTCAGAGAGGGTAGGTCTTTGTCTAGTGTCACACAGTTGGCAAGAGCAACTTACCTTTGTACATGCCACCGTGAACACCTTTATTCATAGCCTCCTTCTTCCTACAGATTCCCATGGCAACAGAAGAGTTTGTGAAACCATCACAGGTAAGTGGAAGAAGTCCCAGGTCTTCACTGACCCTGTTCCCTAAAGCCATGGTTCTGACCCACAGACCCAGGTGACACTGATGTCCTAGGACTCTTTTTCCTTCGTGTTGGGTCCCTGGGGTCACCTCAGGCCCAGGATGATTAATCAGGGTCAGGAGTTATGCAGAGATGTTCTCATTTCTGCATCCAGTAGGATGAAGTGATGAAAGGTTTCCTGGGCATAGGCTCCAGCGTGTCCAAATGCTTAGAGATGAGAATGATATGGGCATATATAGGGAACTGCAAGTCTCCGTGCACTGTGGCCAAAACTCTTACAGTTTGAGCTGTGACAGAATATGAGTTTCCTTTTCCTTCTTTATAATCTCACAGATACATGATTTGTCCTTTTTGTAGATCTTAGCAAACTCAGAGTACGATTGTTTTTTTTCTTGTTAAGAATTCTAGGCCAGGCACAGTGGCTCACGCCTGTAATCCTAGCACTTTGGGAGGCCAAGGCGGGTGGATCACGAGGTCAGGAGATCGAGACCATCCTGACTAACATGGTGAAACCCTGTCTCTACTAAAAATACAAAAAAAGTCAGCCGGGCGTGGTGGCAGGCGCCTGTAGTCCCAGCTTCTCAGGAGGCTGAGGCAGGAGAATGGCATGAACCCGGGAGGCGGAGCTTGCAGTGAGCCAAGGTGGCACCACTGCACTCCAGCCTGGGCGACAGTGTGAGATTCTGTCTCAAAAATAAAAAAAAACTCCCACCTTTTCACTTACAGGAAGTACTTCACAGGTTGTCTTTTACATATCTGAATGGCTGGTATTATTGCTCTTGTGCTTTGGGGGTATTAAGTAAAATAAAGGGTTACTTGAACACAAGCACTGTGATAATGAGACAGTTGATATGATAACCAAGATGGCCACATAGTGACTAACAGGCAGGTAATGTATTCAGCGTGGATCTACTGGACAAAGGGATGATTCACGTCTTGGGCAGAACAGCATTGGACAGTGTAAGATTTTATCACACTGCTCAGAAAAGCACGTCATTTATAACTTTTGAGTTGTTTTTTTCTGGAATTATCCATGTAATATTTTCGGACCACAGTTGACCACTGGTGAGTGAAACCATGGAAAACAAAATAGTGGCTAAGAGCGGGGACGGCTGTATATGTATTCAGTGCTATAAATTTTATTCTAAGCACTGCTTCCACTGCATCTCACAAATTCTAAGTTGTGTTTTCATTGTCATTTAGTTAAAAATATTTTTAAATTTATCTTGAGTATTTCTTCTTTGTTCCATGCATTAAGTCTTGTTTACATCTCCCGGGTATTTTTGGATTTGCCAGCTTTACTGCTTTCTAGTTGAATTCCATTGTGATCACAGAGCATTGTATTATTTCTATTAAATGTATTAAGAGGTATTTTATGACTGTGTATTGTAAACTGGGGAGTAAGTGCCCTTCGTGGGGTCTCTAGGATCATTCCAGCACTGCCATGGAAATGAAACTCTGAGAGGCGTAAAGGATTTGTTACATTCATAGGTCCTCATAGAGGGTGGCACAGCAAACCATGCATGGAGCCATATGGAAGGAGCTCTCAGGGAGTGGACTCAACCAAGCAGGCAGGGAGCCAACAGGGAGAGCAAGGACCTGTGGGCAGGCCCCTTTCCTAGTGTGTCTGAATGTCATTCAGTCACTGTCAAAGGAGGAAAGAAAGGGGAGGTTGTGACAGGGACCAGTCTTAGCATGCTGGGTACGTGGTCACCGGGGTGGGTTGCTCATAATGTATTGGGGATGTTGAAGCATCAGGAAAATAGGAAGTTTTAAAGATTTAAAAAACAGGCCCAGAATGTGGTCTGTCTCGTTGAATATTCCATGTGAGCTTGAGAACAGCGCATATTCTGTTCTTGTTGGACAAAGTAATCTAAAGATGGTGATTATGTCCTGTTGATTGATGGTGTTGTTGAATTCAGCTAAGTTTATTGGTTTTCTGCCTACTGTATCTGTCAGTAACAGATAGAAGAGAGTGTGGAAGACTTCAATTATGATGGTGGATTGATCTGTTTCTCCTTGAAGATCTGTCAGTTTTTGCCTCATATAGTTTGATGCCCTGTGGTCAGGCATGTATGTGCTAAGGATTCTTACATCTTTTTGGAAACGGCTTCAACCTCCCGAGTAGCTGGGATTACAGGCGCCCGCCACCACGCCCAGCTAATTTTTGTATTTTTAGTAGAGACAGGGTTTCTCCACATTGGCCAGGCTGATCTCGAACTCCTGACCTCAGGTGATCCACCCGCCTCGGCCTCCCAAAGTGCCTGTGATGTTTTCTCGATAGCTAGACATGATGAGCTCAGTAAAAGGAATTGCTGTAAATAGGCCTTTAATAATGTAGCGGTGAGGTGTGTCAGCAGGCAGGGCAAGCATTTTAAGTCCCGCCGTTAGGTCTCTGTTTTAGTGAGCCTGTTCCTCTTGACTGAAATTCTCATGTGTTTCTAAATAGTGTTTTGTTATGCTTTTTCTCTCCCCTTATGTGGAAGAGGATTACTAGAGTGGGTTGTAGTTGGTTATTTCCCTTCCCTCAGATAGATTAGGCTCTGATAATAACCTCCGTAGGCTGGACTTTGGTTAACTGTTGTCTCCCAAGGGCAAGCTTTGTTTAGAGGAACACATTGCTATGGCATATTTTAAAATGATTCATTTTCCCCTCTCTGGTGGAAGCACAAGGGGATTTTTTTTTTCCCCCAGTATTCATCATAAGAACTTGGTTAAGTTTCTGGAGGTAAATATTGCAAGATTGTGGGGGCCCCTTATAGTGATAAGTGCCTCTTGAATTTTCAGCTCACAGAATTGTCTACACAGAGCTTCCAGCAATTTATGTATTATAGATTGGGTTTTCTTAACCTGGCACTGGTTTGCATGATGGTTTCCTTTCCTGAGTTTCTGCTCCTGTGAGCCTTGATTCCCCTGTATTCCCTTGTTTATCTCTCCAATCTTGGGGGCAGTGGTGTGTCCTGTGCCCTTATCTTTCCTGTGTGGATCCTAGAAGAACTGTCCATTTTTTAGTCTGTTTAACTCTTTACTTGCTATTGTGATAGAGTGGCCACTTCCAAGCTCCTTACATGCAGAATCGGAAACCAGAGTCCAGGAGTTAGGCCTTCACAATGTGGAGTCTCATGTTGGGACTTCTTGGTGGTGGTGTCAGGTGCACAGCAAGAGACAGACACGTGGAGTTCAGGGAAGGGATCCAAGTGAAAGCTATCCATCAGCCAGTGGCTGGCCTGTGGACCATGGCAAATTTAAGAGGAACACTCTTCAGGTCATAGTGGCAATTCCATCAGTGAGGAAGGATGTAGAGCGTATTCTCTAACGACTGGGTCTCTTGCATGGTCACCTAGAGGTGGGAACCATCACTAAGACCGATAAAGAAGAGTAGTAACCATGGATGTGTGGGGGTAGGATGAAACGGGTGTCCAGCTGCTGGCACAGTCTTTAAATGGGGAATGGTTAAGAGATTCATTCAGAGGCAAAGCAGTACTGGAGGTCAAATGACACCAAGGCCAGGGCTGGTGCTTTTTCTCCCTTCTGCTGGCTCAGACTTTTGTTGGTAACTCTTGGTGGGGCCTGAGTAGTTTCAGACAGGGGGACAGATTAGGTTAAGAGCAAATGAGATTGACTGGGAGACTCATTCAGCCTGTGGTGGGAGCAGCTGGGGACCAGGCTTTGACTGAGTATAGGTGGAGAGAGGAAAGATGTGACGGGTGTGGGGGCAGCACAGACAACACTGAGGAGGAAGTGGACTTCGGCAGCATGAGCTCACACAAGGTCTGAGTGGCTGAAATTGGAACAAAGAGCCAGGCCAGATGGGGAAGTCTTCATAACAGTCCTGAGACTGCCTCTGGCTTGGGTCTAACAAAGATGTGTGGTGGTGCTGGATCCATGTTGCATTTAGCAAGTGCTGCCTGGGCCCCTTGAGCAGAGTGGCATGTGGAGAAGCCAGTGAAGTGCCAGCATCATGGATGCTGAGGGTGGTGGAGTTCAAGGTGTAGCAGCCATGATCTGGAGATGTGTTCCCATGAATGGTGTGCAACTGGGAGGGAGTATGGCTGTACTCAGGATCCTTGTACTGGCACTTTAAGCCAAGACAGTAAGCACAGGTTTCAGTATATCTGGGTCTCCAGCGAGATGAACCAGCAGGAGCATGGATAAGATTCCATGATGTAAGGCCCAGAGGGAGATACTATAAGGACCTGGTATCTCCTCTGAGTTGGAGAACTAGGGAGGAGGGAGATTTACTGGGATTCCTGGGGATTGAGTCTGCTCATGATCTCACCTGCCCCCATCATGCAGGGCCATGTGACCTTTGAGGATATTGCTGTGTACTTCTCCCAGGAGGAGTGGGGCCTCCTTGATGAAGCTCAGAGGTGCCTGTATCATGATGTGATGCTGGAGAACTTTTCGCTTGTGGCCTCAGTGGGTAAGATCTCTTAAAACCACACCATCGACCTCTGTTGGACTTTGCTCTTCCCCTTTTTCCAGGAGTTTCCTGTCTTTGCCAGAGTTGGACATGGGCCCTGCTTCTTTCCTTGGTTCTTGACCTGTGGAAGACATAGGCGCTGTGGTTGCCAGGCCTGGGTTTTTTTCTGCCCCAACATCTACTGTCCTGAAGCCTTTTAGTTAAGAGTTTGGGTTCAGACTCTTGTAACTTGCCCAACCGATACCACTTGGTTTTGCCACTCCTTGCTAAGGTTCACTTCTGTGGTGGACCTGTGTTACAGGTTCTCCCCCTGCCTTTAGTAGACATGTCTTTGGACCTGCCTTTCTCAGGAATTATAGGTACTTACATGGTTGCTATTTGTAGGGAACCCTAGACTATGACAGCAACACCCACTCCCAAGGGTTTTTTTGTAAAAAGTTTCCCTCCTGTAGTCTGTCATGGGTTGGGGCACTCTGGGCCAGTGTCGTTGATCCGCCTCCCTGTTTTTCCCTTAGGATTGCTTCTGCCTTCCAGGACTGAGATAGTCTCCTGACTTAAGCTGGGGACAGGGGAAAGGCCTGTGTTCCTGAAAGGGTAGTGAAGTCTTTAGCCATAGCAAGGGGGGTTAACGAGGTTTGGGACCTGTGACTAGGAGCAGTGGGAGGTCATGATTTCAGGGCTGAACTCAAATCATACCAGGCAGATGTCCTATGTTCCCCACTATTTTGGGGCCAGGGCTCATGGCCATACCTCATTTTTCTCTTTTCTCTGCCTGCTTGACAATTTGCCTGCTTGTCGTTTCTACAGTGATTGTCTCCTACCTCTGTTCTCCACATCTCTCCAGTTCCTATTCTGCAGTGTTCTCCAACATTAGCCTATACCTAATGTATTTAATATTATGAGCTGTGCAGATACAGATGTTCCTCAGCTCATGATGGGGTTATATCCTGGTAAACCCATTGTGAGTTGAGAATACCATAAGTCAGAAATGCATTTAATACACCCAACTTATTAGACATCCCAGCTTAGCAACACAGTAGAGTATCAGTTGTTCAGCCTTGTGATTGCATGGCTTACTGAGAGCTGCAGCTTGCTACCACTGCATCACAAGGGTATATACACACTGCCTATCACTAGCCTGGGAAAAGTTCAAAATTTAAAGTATGGTTTCTACTGAATGCACGTCACTTTTGTATCATCATAAAGTGGAAAAATCATAAGTTCAACCATTGTAAATCAAAGACTATCTACTTAAGCTCTCAAACATCAGCTATCCAGTTGTAATTGCATTTTCCTGGGGTGACACACATTCTATGCAGGTCTCCCCTGTCTCCATCAGACAACGTCCTATTGAAAACCATTGACAGAGAAGGGAGTTGTATGCCCCCTGCCTCTCTTCCCACCACAGTACCCGATTCCTTGTTCTCCTGCTGGTTATGGGTCTTCCCCTACATGGTAACCTTCAGAGCCCTTATACTACAAGTATTATGTTCCTTGACCTGACTCCAGCTCCCTTGTCCTGAAAACAAACCCATAGCCTGGGTGCGATGGCTCATGCCTATAATCCTAGCACTTGGGGTAGCTGAGTTGGGAGGATCACTTGAGGTGAGGAATTTGAGACCAGCCTTGGCAACATAATGAGATCCCTGTCTCCACAAAAAATTCTGAAAAATTAGCCAGGCATGGTGGTATATGCCTGTAGTCCCAACTACTTGGGAGGCTGAGGTGGGAGTGTCACTGGAGCTTGGAAGGTCAAGGCTGCAGTGAGATGTGACTGCAATTGCACTCCCATCTGGGTGACAGAGCAAGACTCTATCTCAAAAAAAAAACAAAACAAAACAACAACAACAAAAAACAAAACGTGGACTCATCCGTCCCTGTGTTCCATAGGTATTTGTAATGGAGCTGTTCCCTTCCACCAAAGTCTGCATATACTTCACTTGCATTTTTATGCTTTTAGGGTGTTTACATGGAATAGAGACTGAGGAGGCCCCTTCTGAGCACACTATTTCTGCACAAGGAGTGTCACAGGCCAGGACTCCAAAGCCAGGTCCTTCCATCCCAAACGCTCATTCTTGTGAGATGTGTATCTTGGTCATGAAAGACATTTTGTACCTCACTGAGCACCAGGGAACACTTCCCTGGCAGAAACCTTATACTTCTGCGGCCAGTGGGAAATGGTTTTCATTTGGTTCTAACCTGCAACTGCACCAGAACCAGGACAGCGGAGAGAAACACATCAGAAAGGAGGAGAGCAGTGCCTTGCTTCTGAATAGCTGCAAAATTCCTCTGTCAGGCAGTCTCTTCCCATGCAAAGATATTGAGAAGGATTTTCCAACCATCCTGGGCCTTCTTCAACACCAGACCACCCACAGCAGAGAAGAGTATGCACAAAGAAGCAGGGAGACCTTTCAACAAAGACGTTACAAATGTGAGCAAGTTTTCAATGAGAAAGTTCATGTTACTGAACATCAGAGAGTCCACACTGGAGAAAAAGCTTATAAGCGTAGGGAATATGGGAAATCCTTGAACTCTAAATATTCATTTGTTGAACACCAGAGAACCCATAATGCAGAAAAGCCTTATGTGTGCAGTATATGTGGGAAATCATTCCTCCATAAACAAACACTCGTTGGGCACCAGCAGAGAATTCACACTAGAGAAAGGTCTTATGTGTGCATCGAATGTGGGAAATCCTTGAGCTCCAAATACTCACTTGTGGAACACCAGAGAACCCATAATGGAGAAAAGCCTTATGTGTGCAACGTATGTGGGAAATCATTCCGCCACAAACAAACATTTGTTGGGCACCAGCAGAGAATCCATACTGGAGAGAGGCCTTATGTATGTATTGAATGTGGGAAATCTTTTATTCATTCCTATGACCGCATTCGACACCAGAGAGTTCACACTGGAGAAAGGGCTTATCAGTGCAGTGAATGTGGGAAATCCTTCATATACAAACAGTCACTTCTTGATCACCAGAGAATCCACACGGGAGAAAGGCCTTATGAGTGCAAAGAGTGTGGGAAAGCATTCATTCACAAAAAAAGACTTCTTGAGCACCAGAGAATTCATACTGGAGAAAAGCCTTATGTGTGCATCATATGTGGGAAATCATTTATCCGCTCATCTGACTACATGCGACACCAGAGAATTCACACTGGAGAAAGGGCTTATGAATGCAGTGACTGTGGGAAAGCCTTCATCTCCAAACAAACACTTCTTAAGCATCACAAAATCCACACTAGAGAAAGGCCTTATGAATGCAGTGAATGTGGGAAAGGCTTCTACCTTGAGGTTAAACTTCTTCAGCACCAAAGAATCCATACTAGAGAACAACTTTATGATTGCAATGAATGTGGAAAAGTCTTTAGCCACCAAAAAAGACTTCTTGAGCACCAGAAAGTTCACACTGGAGAAAAGCCCTGTGAGTGCAGTGAATGTGGGAAATGCTTTAGACACCGCACCAGCCTCATTCAACACCAGAAAGTTCACAGTGGAGAGAGGCCTTATAACTGCACTGCATGTGAGAAGGCCTTTATCTATAAAAACAAACTTGTTGAGCATCAGCGAATCCACACTGGAGAAAAGCCATATGAATGTGGTAAATGTGGGAAAGCCTTCAACAAAAGATATTCCCTTGTCAGGCACCAGAAAGTACATACAACAGAAGAGCCCTAGCAATTGTTGACATGTGCCATTGTCTTATTCACCATAACACACCAGAGAGCCGACTTTTCAAGGGATCCGACAGAAATTAAACCTCATATATCTGTGTATCAGTAGTTGAAAGATTCACTACAAGGTCCAAGTACTTGGGAAACTTTCCAGAGATTATTACTTGTACTTTCTAATCTGCCCAGTGTTACAACAGACACTACCATGTGGCATATCCTCACATTTTTCATCAGTCACTCACATGTGCTCAAGGAATGCAGACCACTGTGCTCGCCAAATTCTGAAAGGAGTAATATAATAAAAGCCTATTGAGGGTTCTCTTCCATTTTGCTGAACTGTTCAAGGCATAGACAAAACCCAAATTTGACGAAGAGCAATCTGGATTATTGTAGCCCATGGAGGTTTACCTTCTTCATAGGTTTTTTTTTTTTTTATGTGATTGCCATAGTGGGATATTCCCTCCCCCACATTACCCAAGAGGGACATGGGGTGTCTCACCATGTGCTGATGTATATGTTCTGCCAATGTGAAGAGTGAACAGCTCCAACTTTATGTGCCCCTAGGGACATAGTATGAGCTCAGAAAATAGTTTAGTCCTATTTGTCTTAATTTTTATTGGTTTCCAAGGTCTCCTAGGAAAGAGCAGAGCTGTGTGGTCCTAATCATGGTGTCGATTTTATGCCAGATTTATTTGTAGCTCCAGAGGTCTCCCCGAGAAGAGGCATTTGTGACAAACTCAAGTGCTGGGGTCTGCATGAATTGTTTATTTGCAGTGATGCTCCATATTTCCTAGCACTGTTCATGGCATCTTATTTCCCAGGTCCTTCATTGTAGTCATGGGCACTGAAGGACAGAATTGGTAGGCAGGTCACTGGTTGTAAGACCTACTGGGGCCAGGTAAGAACAGTAATTGGCCCAGACAGGTAGGTGTAATAAACAGAGAGTGGAAAATATTGTAGCCAAGAAGAGTGGATGTGTCCCATCCAAAGGTGCATCCAAAACTGTCTATGTTACTATGGCTTCATGGTTTGGGAGTATATAGAAATTCTCAGGACCTCAGACCTTTGATTCTCCTTTGGCAGCACACATCGTCAGCATAAGTCATCTAAAGGTTTTGTGGACTCCCATAACTTCTGTACTGTGTTTGAGATGATTGCTGCATGAGCAGGAAAGCAGGATTTGAGAGAACATACACCTTGCCTTCCAGATATGTGGTTTTTGTGATTCACCCAGATCTGTTATGCCAGTTAGAAATTACCTTTATTACTTCCCATTTATTGCCACTGCTGAGAAGGCTGTCCTTCCTAACTTGTGAGGAGATGAATCCTTAATAAGTAAATATTGTGTTACCCTATAGTCTGGTTTTCCAAAAGGAGAGGTAGATGCATATTTTTGTGTGGAACCATTTATCTTAAAACATTGAGGTGCAGTTTTTATACACAAAACCTTCTTTTTAAGAATTGTTTGTATGGTTTATTGCCTAATTAATGGGTTTTGATATTCATGTAATCTCAGTAAGTATCTTGTCTTAGAAATATGTGTGTATAGGCCGGGTGCAGTGGCTCACGCCTGGGAGGCCAAGGCAGGTAGATCACCCGAGGTCAGGAGTTCGAGACCAGCCTGGCCAACATAGTGAACTCCAGTCTCTACTAAAAATACAAAAATAGCCGGGCGTGGTGGTGTGGATCTCTAATCCCAGCTATGCAGGAGGCTGAGGCAGGAGAATCACTTGAACCTGGAAGGCGGAGGTTGCAGTGAGCCGAGGTCATGCCATTGCACTCCAGCCTGGGTGACAGAGTGACATTTTGTCTCAAAAAAAAAAAAAAAAAAAAACCAGAAATATGTGTATATATTCTATTTTGCGTCTTTTCATTCACCTTATTTCATTCAGTCTTCCAAATAAAATGTTCTTAATTTTGATGAAGTCTAATTTGTCTGTGTGTTCTTTTACTATTATTTTGGTGCTATTTAAAAAAATGCATTCCTCGGCTGGGCGTGGTGGCTCACGCCTGTAATCATAGCACTTTGGGAAGCCAAGGTGGGTGAGATCACCTGAGGTCAGGAGTTTGAGACCAGCCTGGCCAATGTGGCAAAACCCCATCTCTACTAAAAATACAAAAAGTAGCTGGGCATGGTGGTGGGTGCCTGTAGTCCCAGCTACTCAGGAGGCTTAGGTGGGAGGATTGCTTGAACCTGGGAGGCGGAGGCTGCAGTGAGCTGAGATCTTGCCACTACATTCCAGCCTGGGTGACACAGCAGGACTCCCATCTTGGGAAAAAAATAAATAAATAAAAATAAAAAATAGTGTAATTATAGAAACCTTGGAAAGATTGTTATTTAACTGATATTACATAAGGTATTTATTTTGTAAATTAGTTGCAATATTAGAATTTCTATGTCAGTCTAGAGTATTTATTTCTCTGCTGTTACTGTGACCTTAACACATTGAAAGAGTTCTTATTTTGCTTTGCCATCCCGTACGCATACTTAATTTTTGTTATTTTCCCAAATTCCAATTATCTTTACAAGATCATTTTCTTTGTGTGTTTTTTTTTTTTTTTTTTTTTTGAGACAGAGTCTCGCTCTGTCGCCCAGGCTGGAGTGCAGTGGCCGGATCTCAGCTCACTGCAAGCTCCGCCTCCCGGGTTCATGCCATTCTCCTGCCTCAGCCTCCCGAGTAGCTGGGACTACAGGCGCCCGCCACCTCGCCCGGCTAGTTTTTTTGTAGTTTTAGTAGAGACGGGGTTTCACCGTGTTAGCCAGGATGGTCTCGATCTTCTGACCTCGTGATCCGCCCGTCTCGGCCTCCCAAAGTGCTGGGATTACAGGCTTGAGCCACCGCGCCCGGCCCATTTTCTTTGTTTTTTAAAAGAGCTAACCAGACAAGAAAATTTGCCCTTGTTATTCCCACTTATACAGCTTGTCTGCCAAACGCTTTATGCCATTATTCTCATCAGTCTCATTCTCAGGGGTTTCTCTGAGCAAATCCATACAGAAGTGGAACTATGTGACACTTCCTGCTCCATTCTCATGCTTCATCTTTAATAGGTAAATTTACCATTTTAAATAGTTTTAAAATTATCTTCACTATGTGTACTTTGGATTTAATCCTACTAATAATTAAGAGGCTCTAAGAATCAATGGATTTAATCCTACTAATGATTAAGATACTCTAAGAATCAATGTAAAACTAATTTCAAAGCCAGTAGCATAATTTTGTGAGTTATGCCTGAGTATTCAAAAATCCTAACAAGTCAAAAATATTAATATATTTAATCTTTCCATTTAAATACTTCCATTCCATAAACTTCAGAACCAAAGTTAGATACTAACAAGAGACTGTAGATAAGTAGTGTCAGTAGTATCCAGGGACTAGCCCATATACTTGAAAATCTTATTAATCATCAATAAAGTACCCCGCCATAAACAAATACACAATAAAAAGTTAAGATACAAATAAAGACAGGCCAATATATGAGTAGACCATTGACAGAAGAGGAAAAACAAAAGGGAATAAAAGGATATGAATTAATGCTCAAACGTATTTCAATCTGAGAAACAGCAGATAATACTGTATATCACTTTAAACTTCTAAAGAAAGAAAAACTGGAAAGCTGGGTAATTCTAAATATTGTCTGGGACACAGTGATACAGAAACACTTCTGTCCATCTTATGGGAGAGGAAAGGGCAACCTATAACGTAATTCCAGTTACATACTAGATCACCATATGACCTAGCTATTCAGCTCCAAGGTACATTTTTCTTTTTTTTTTTTTTTTTTTTTTTTTTTTTTTTGAGACGGAGTCTTGCTCTGTAGCCCGGGCTGGACTGCAGTGGCCGGATCTCAGCTCACTGCAAGCTCCGCCTCCCGGGTTTACGCCATTCTCCTGCCTCAGCCTCCGGAGTAGCTGGGACTACAGGCGCCCGCCACCTCGCCCGGCTAGTTTTTTGTATTTTTAGTAGAGACGGGGTTTCACCGTGTTAGCCAGGATGGTCTCGATCTCCTGACCTCGTGATCCGCCCGTCTCGGCCTCCCAAAGTGCTGGGATTACAGGCTTGAGCCACCGCGCCCGGCCTAAGGTACATTTTTCATGTATGTCCATAAGTTTATTTAGAACATAACACTGATGACCTTATTTTTAAGGTTGAATTAAGCTAGTGGTAATATATTTCATAGCAGGAGAATGGAGGAAGTACATGTCCATAATCACAAGATTTGAATAAAGGATGAAAGCTTCATGATGTAAAACATTACATGGCAGTTAAAAACCATTGGCTAGGCCGGGCGCGGTGGCTCACGCCTGTAATCCCAGCACTTTGGGAGGCTGAGACGGGCGGATCACGAGGTCAGGAGATCGAGACCATCCTGGCTAACACGGTGAAACCCCGTCTCTACTAAAAATGCAAAAAACTAGCCGGGCGCAGTGGCGGGCGCCTGTAGTCCCAGCTACTCGGGAGGCTGAGGCAGGAGAATGGCGTGAACCCGGGAGGTGGAGCTTGCAGTGAGCTGAGATTCGGCCACTGCACTCCAGCCCGGGCGACAGAGCGAGACTCCATCTCAAAAAAAATAAATAAATAAAAATAAACCATTGGCTAGAGGTAAGCCCATGAAATACAGGATAGACTATATTTTGTTGTATTTTGAGTGAAAAAGATAGATAAAAAGAATTGTGAGATCTACAATTCAATAAAACATGATAATTTAAAAATAATACCAGCCGGGCACGGTGGCTCACGCCTGTAATCCCAACACTTTGGGAGGCTGAGGCGGGCAGATCACGAGGTCAGGAGATCGAGATCATCCTGGCTAACACGGTAAAACCCCGTCTGTACTAAAAATACAAAAAATTAGCCGGGCGTGGTGGCGGGCGCCTGTAGTCCCAGCTACTCGGGAGGCTGAGGCAGGAGAATGGCGTGAACCCGGGAGGCGGAGGTTGCAGTGAGCCAAGATCATGCCACTGCACTCCAGCCTGGGCAACAGAGCAAGACTCCGTCTCAAAAAAATAATAATTTAACACCACAAAACTCCAAACCAAAGAAAAAACCCCAAACAACCCAGACACTTCTTACTAGAACACGTTCCATGCTTTTCTCTCGGTTTCTGGTAGCCCCATGTGTTCCTTGACTTGACGATGTTCTTCCTGTGTCTTCACATTGTCTTCCCTCTGTACATCTGCCTCTGTGACCAAAGTTCCCTTTTTTTTTTTTTTGAGATGGAGTCTGTCGCCCAGGCTGGATGGAGTGCAGTGGCATGATCTCGGCTCACTGCAACCTCCGCCTCCCGGGTTCAAGTGATTCTCATGCCTCAGCCTCCTGTGTAGCTGGGACTACAAGCGCCTGCCACCACGTCCAGCTAATTTTTTGTATTTTTAGTAGAGATGGGGTTTCACCCTGTTAGCCAGGATGGTCTCAATCCCCTGATCTCGTGATCCAGCCGCCTCGGCCTCCCAAAGTGCTGGGATTACAGGCGTGAGCCACCCCACCATGCCCAAATTTCCCATTTTTGTAAGGACACAGTTATGTTCAATTAGGAACTAACCTAATGGATTAATTAACATGATTACCTGAGGTTCTGAGGGTAACGACTCCAACATCTTTTTTGGAGACACAAACACTTAACATTGCCCTATGAATTTCTGCAGTTCTTTCAAAGGCAGAGTGAATAGTAATCACAGCAATTTCAAGATAAACAGGCTTCCATTGTGAGATGGCTTGTTTAAAGAAACTATTAATTCTCTATACTCTTCTGATCACTCTGTTGTTCACATTCATTTTAGACTTTCTCTTCCAAATCACTTCTGGTGCTTTCCTTCCTGCTTTCATTTCCTTCAGTGTTCTAGTTCTGTTATGTTTTTATTCCATCAGCAATTTCTTAAATTTCTCTTTTCAACCTTAAGTGGTTTTTCTGAAATTATAAAATTTACTGTGAACATTTCAAACATTTCCACGTGTGCATGAAGTTAAAGTGAATGTTCACTCTGACACTCCCCTCTGCCCCATCCCTTCCCTCCCTCTACACCCAAGGAGCAAATACCATTTAACTGGGTGAAAATCCTTCCAGACACATTTTTTGTCTGCTTACAAACATTAAGATTTCTAAGTCGTCTTTGCATGACTGACTTGCCAAGTGAATTCACTGTCCACATTTCCTCTGTGAGACTAACTGAAGTGCACCAACTGTGAATGGTCATAACTAGTCCCACCCCCACAATCATTTCTCACAGATTAAACACCATAAGAGCATAGTGCTTTTTATCTAATTTGTTCATTAAATGTAACAAAGTTACAATAACAAACATGAACAAGAAAACATGTTTTACCTTTACCTCCGCCGGGCACAGTGGCTCACGCCTGTAATCCCAGCACTTTGGGAGACTGAGGCGGGTGGACTACCTGAGGTCAGGAATTCAAGACCAGTCTGGCCAACATGGTGAAACCCCGTCTCTACTAAAAATTCAAAACTCTTAGCCGGGCGTGGTGGTGGGCGCCTATAATCACAGATACTCAGGAGGCTGAGGCAGGAGAATCCCTTGAACTCGGGAGGCAGCAGTTGCCGTGAGCTGAGATGGCACCACTGCACTCCAGCCTGGGCAACAAAACTCTGTCTCAAAAAAAAAAAAAAAAAAAAAAAATTTTTTTACCTCAATCATAAACTGAGTATTTGTGGAAAACATACAGAAGTTCATAAGTTTTACTGACTTAAAAATGGGTGCTAAACAAGTTTACGTCAATATATTGCACCTGTTCTCATGTGTTTTTCCTATACTAGACAGTAAGTTCCTTCCCTGCTCAAGGGTAGGACCCATAGCCCAGCCATCCACTGCATCCTACTCTTCCAAATATGAACACAACAGTGAGTGGCCATGGAGCTAAATGACAGGTGTCTCATGAGATTCTTGCCTATCACAGCAGCAAGTTCATAGTAGATCCTTTTACCAAACACTGTAAGACTGTACAGAAAGAGTTGAAAGCTAAGAAAAACCCCAGGCTGTCCTTTATCCCATGGAAAACATCACTCCTGCTTTGGGACAAACTGGGGCCTAGGTCCTCAGGCCTGGAAAGAACCCTTTGATGACAGCCAATATGTTTCTAGAGGGATTTCTCCAACTCTCTTGAACCCAGGGCCTTAGGTACAAGTACAGCCACAGCTACAATACATGCAGCCTTCCAGAGAGAGGGTGCAGGAGGGTGGTGGTCCTCAAGAGTCAACTCTCCTTCCCAGAGGAAAGGAAACTGTGCACTCTGTCCTGAAAAAACAAAAACAGAGAACTCTTCACTCACCAAGAATTGTATTTATAGTATGTGCAAAAGGACCACAGTAAAAGGTACATGCCCACTATGAAAACATGAAATACATATGCAGTGCTTTAAAAGTTTGTGAGGAAAGCTCAAAGTGAGAAAATAATTTTCTGTTTTTCACACAATACATGTTTTAACCTAACATTGTCTCATGTAGCTTGAAAACTAAAAGAAAATCTCACAAAAGGAATTTCAAATTACCATATTCAGGCTAAGTGCTCACACCTGTAATCCCAGGATTCTGGGAGGCTGAGGTAGGTGGATCACCTGAGGTCAGGAGTTTGAGACCAGCCTGGGCAACAGGGCAAAACCCTGTCTCTACTAAAAATACAAAACTTAGCTGGGGCACGGTGGTACATGCCTGTAATCCCAGCTTCTCGGGAGGCTGAGACAGGAGAATTGCTTGAACCCGGGAGGCAGAGGTTGCAATGAGCCAAGATCGCACCACTGCACTCCAGCCTAGGCAACAGAGTGAGACTCCATCTCAAAACAAAACAAAACTAATTACCATATTCAATGCTAGCACCAAGGGAATAAGGTCCTGGTGGTTAACTATGAAACTCACGTAAACCTGCACACATATATCCTGATTCACCTGTTAAAATGCTAGGCACTTTATTTTGTAGTAAAACTTCACACAAATGTTTACAAGATCAGACAATGAGATTCCATGTTGTTTTGTTGGGTTTACTGGGTTTACCATGGATTCATCTTAGCTGTGTGTTTTATTTTGCCTGTTTTAGCTGTAATTCAGTTCCTAGAAATATGCTAAGGGAGACCTGAAAATACCTCTCTACACAGGCTTAAAGAACCTGAGAAATACCAGAAAGAATTAGGACTCACCTGAGAGGGCCAAGCAAGTACAAAGTGATCACTATGTTGCCAGAGAAAATAAAGACAACAAATAGAATGGAATCAGGAAAATGTGAGAGTGCTGAGCATCTGAAACCGTATTAGGCTAGGTGTGGTGGCTCACACCTATAATCCCAACACTTTAGGAGGCTGAGGCAGGATGATCACTTGAGTCTAGCAGTTTGAGACAAATCTGGGGAACACAGCAAGATCCTATCTATACAAAATAATTTAAGGCCAGTTGCAGTGACTCACACTTGTAATCCCAGCACTTTGAGAGGCCAAGGCAGGTGGATCACTTGAGGTCAGGAGTTCCAGACCAGCCCAGCCAACATGGTAAAACCCTGTCTCTACTAAAATTACAAAAATTAGCCAGGCATAGTGGTGCATGCCTGTATCCCAAGCTACTCAGAAACTTGAGGCAAGAGGACCATTTGAGCCCAGGAGTTCGAGGTTACAGGGAGCTATGATCATTCCACTGCACTCTAGCCTAGGTGACAGAGCAAGTCCCTATCTCTTAAAAAATAATGTTTATTTAAAAAAAGCCTTAAACAGTCTTAAGTGATGCACATTTTAATGTGGCCATCTGTACATGGGTTCTTCTCACCCTAGATATAAAATAGAAGTGTCACATGAAGACATTCTCAGTATTCTAATTTCTTGTAAATTCAAGAATCTCATGACACACACCTTCATATTTCTCACAAAGAATTTCCTCATGGGCATCCTCCCAGAGAGGTCTGGGTCAAAGGCAGCTTCCAAGGCGTCCTCCCAGAGAGGTCTGGGTCAAAGGCAGCTTCCAAGGCATCCTCCCAGAGAGGTCTGGGTCAAAGGCAGCTTCCAAGAAATGTTTGAAGAGCTGCCCTCACTGTCCAACTCTGATGATGGCAATGAATGTATGTTAAAAAAAAAAGGGGGGGGGGGATAAAACCCCTTTACCTCTCAAACATTCCCCTACCAAAAAATAAAACTGATCTTACAGGGAAGTCTGTAAGGACATAAAGCAAGAAGATACCTGTGACTGAAGGTTTTCATAAGTTCATAGAGAAAATCCCGAGGTGGGTCACATTCCAGCATGGCTCTTTATAGGACAAGTAAGTGACAAACTGGTCACAGAAAGTTTTCTCACATCAATGACAATTATGTAGTAACTTTTCATTATGATGCTCGGATAGTAAGATTTTTCCTCTGGCCAAAGACTGTCCTTAAGAGTTATATTTGGAATGTTTCTCCAGCCTGAGTCTTCTGATGTTGATAGAGTGCCTTCCACATTTCCCTCTGACATGAATCCTTCTGCAGTGAGTGAGAACTGAGTGGTGACTGAAAGGATCCTTACATTCACTGTATTCACAGCGTTTCTCTCCAAAGTGATTGCTCATGTGTTAGTTAAGAAAGAGCTGAGGAAAAAAATGAAGTTTCCTGACATTCTTTGCACTCGAAGGGCTTCTTCCTCCAGTGTGGGTCCCATTATGAATGATAAAATAAGAACAGTGGGTGAAGGCTTTGCTATATTCATTGCAACAATAGGGTTCTGTCATGTATGGACTCTTTGGTGCTGTAGAAGGTGTGACCTGCGTTTGAAGGCCTTCCCACACTCGATACACTTGTAGGGCATCTCCGCAGTGTGGATGACAGAGTGCTGAATGAGGTATGTGCTCCGGTGAAAGGCCTTCCCACACTGGGTGCATTCATAGGGCTTCTCCCCAGTGTGAATCCGCTGGTGCTGTATGAGTTCTGAGCTGCATCTGAAGGCCTTTCCACACGCCATGCAATCATAGGGTTTCTCTCCAGTGTGGATGATGTAGTGTTGAATTAGGTGGGCCCTATTGCTAAAGGCTTTCTTACATTCTTTGCACTCAAAGGGTTTTTCTCCGGTGTGGGTCCTGTTATGGCGAATGAAAGTAGACCGGTGGGTGAAGGCCTTTCGACATTGACTGCACTCATAGGGTTTCTCTCCAGTGTGGATTGGATGGTGCTGCATGAGGTACGACCTGCGTTTGAAGGCCTTTCCACACTCAAGGCACTTGTATGGTTTCTCCCCAGTGTGGATGAGGTAGTGCCGAATGAGAGTTGAGCTCTGGCTAAAGGCTTTCCCACACGCGTTGCATTCGTAGGGTTTCATTCCAGTGTGAACCCTCTGATGTCGAACAAGATACCACTTCCTGTTAAAACCTTTCCCACACTGCTTGCATTTGTAGGCGTTTGTCCCTGCATGAATCAAGGCGTCTTTCCCTGGTTGCTGTGAGTCACATTCATGGAGAACATCTGTTGATAACCATTCTTGTAATGCCCTGGAGTGCAGACCATCATCTGTCCCCAAACCTTCACCTTCAAGGCTCGCTTTCCCAGGATGGGTCTCCTTGTGGAGGTCTGTCTCTGGTGTCATTTCCACAAGCCCTTCCTTATCCCTAGATCTCCCCAACCTCGAGTCACTTGAGGTTGAAGATTCCACAGTCAGGCTTCCCCGGACAAAGGCCCACTCAGATAAGTCTGGCGGGTAAGTGGTTGGCTCTCTGGTATGAACTTGTGTTCTGTCACCTGAAGGGCATCAGCAAACAAAGGAGGGGTCTTTTAGTGATTACATATAGAAAAACACAAAATAACCACTTCAGTAGGAAAATGAAGATGAAAACAGTGCCTATGATAACTGCTGCATTTTTACATCTCTAACCCAGGCTACCAAATACTTCTTATGGTACTTGTATCCTTGACACCATTAAAGGGAAAATCTAGAGATCAGGCTGGACCAGGGGACAGAGGATCTGAAGTAAAGACATTCCTCTTTACAGTTCAGAGTAAGGAAGAGATAATAGAGTTTTGATGACATTGTCTGAAGGGCATTTGCTTCCAGAATTGAACCCTTACATCCATCTGACAAGGGATCAATAACCAGAATATATAAGGAGCTTAAACAACTCTATAGGAAAAAAATCTAAGAATCCGATTTAAAAATGGGCAAAAGATCTGAATACACATTTTTCAAAAGAATACATACAAATGGCAAACAGGTATATGAAAAACTGCTCAACATAACTGACCATCAAAGAAATGCAAATCAAAACTACAATGAGATATCATCTCATCCCAGTTAAAATGGCTTTTATCCAAAAGACAGGCAATAACAAATGGTGGCAAGGATGCGGAAAAAAGGGAACCCTCATACACTGTTGGTGGGATTTTAAATTACTACAACTACCATGGAGAACAGTTTGGAGATTCCTCAAAAAACTAAAAATAGAGCCACCATATGATCCAGCAATCCCAGTGGAGGTATATATCCAAAAGAAAGAAAAAAAAAAATCAGTCCATCAGAGAGATCTGCACTCCCATGTTTTACTACAGTACTATGCACAACAGCCAAGATTTGGAAACAATTTAAGGGTCCATCAACAATGAATGGACAAAGAAAATGTGGTGTGTATACACAATGGGGTACTATTTGGCCATAAAAAAAAGGAGATCCTATCATTTGCAACAACATGGACGGAACTAAAAATCAAAACAATTAAAATCATGGAGAGAGAGAGTAGAAAGATGGTTACCAGAAACTGGGAAGGGCAGTAGGGTGGAGTAGGGAGGAAGTGAGGATGGTTAATGGGTACCAAAATAAAGTTAGGAAAGAATGAGTAAGACCTGGTATTTGATAGCACAACAGGGTGGCTATAGTCAACAATAATTTATTGCATACTTTAAAATAACTAAGGGTATAACTGGATTGTTGGTAACACAGAGAAAGTATAAATGCTTGAGGTGACAGATACTTCCTTTACCTTGATGTGACTATTATGCATTGTATGCCTAAATAAAAATCTCTTACGTGCCCCAAATATGTGTACACCTATGTACCCACATAAATTAAAAATTAGCTGGGCATGGTGGTGCATGACTGTAATCCCAGCTACTCGTGAGACTGAGACAGGAGAATCGCTTGAACCCAGGAGGCGGAGGTTGCAGTGAGCTGAGATTGCGCCACTGCACTCCAGCCTGGGCAACAAGAGTGAAACTCTGTCTCGAAAAAGAAAAAGAACTGGAGCCTTTTGGTGCTATGAGAGTTTAAGGAAGTGGCACTTAACAAGACTGGAAAGAAAAAGAGATCATGGAAGGCTTTCTAGAGAAGGTGTCCCATAAGCTGAGGCCTACAAGAGAAGCCAGAATCATTGCGAGAGAGAGGAAGTGGGAAATGGGTTGAAGACGAGGAAGTAAAAATGGTTTGATTCACCCTTTGGGCACCAGATGCCTGGTGAAACCAGTATAAAAGGGTGCTTAGAGTTGGAGGAAGAGAATGAAGATCCAGCACAAAAGGGATAGAAGGACACACAGGAACAAATGGTAAAAAAGGTCTAGCAATGGTAAGATCTGACAAGTTTCTGCTGTGTCAGGAGGCACAGTGCATGGCGGACAAGAGGGTACCGGAGACAGAATGACTCAGTTCAAATCCTGCATCTGTCAAGTGGGTTGATACTGGAGGATGACTTTCTCCACCAGATCTCAAATTCCTCAACTAAGAGTCATGAAGTTAAATGAGAAAATGCACAGTTCTTGATGTAGCACAAGTGTTCATTAAATTGTGGGACATTGGCCGGGCACGATGGCTCACGCCTGTAATTCCAGCACTTTGGGAGGCCAAGGCGGGCAGATCACGAGGTCAGGAGATTGAGACCATCCTGGCTAACATGGTGAAACCCCATCTCTACTAAAAATACAAAAAAGTAGCCAGGCGTGGTGGTGGGTGCCTATAGTCCCAGGTACTTGGGAGGCTGAGGCAGGAGAATGGCGTGAACCCGGGAGGCGGAGCTTGCAGTGAGCCAAGATCGTGCCACTGCACTCCAGCCTGGGCGACAGAGCGAGACTCCGTCTCAAAATAAAAAAAAAAAAAATTATAGGACATTACCCTTATTATTATTCTCACTGCTACACTGGGCAATTTGGGTAAAGGAAGTGACATGAGCAAGAACAACTTCATGGCCGGGCGCGGTGGCTCAAGCCTGTAATCCCAGCACTTTGGGAGGCCGAGACGGGTGGATCACGAGGTCAGGAGATCGAGACCATCCTGGCTAACACGGTGAAACCCCGTCTGTACTAAAAATACAAAAAACTAGCCGGGCGAGGTGGCGGGCGCCTGTAGTCCCAGCTACTCCGGAGGCTGAGGCAGGAGAATGGCGTAAACCCGGGAGGCGGAGCTTGCAGTGAGCTGAGATCACGCCACTGCACTCCAGCCCGGGCTACAGAGGAAGACTCCGTCTCAAAAAAAAAAAAAAAAAAAAAAAAAAAAGAACAACTTCAGTGCTGTGATCTGAAGAACATAGCAGCTATGCTTCATAAAGTAGCCAACATCACATGCTTAGAAGACCCGAGTGCAGCAGTCTCATACCTGGCTGGTGGGGATGGGAAATGGTGCGGCTACTGTGGAAAAATATTTGGGGGTTTGACTTAAAGCTAAACACAGATCTGTCTCTTGACTCCACCAGTCATCTCCTGGGTGTATATGCAACAGAAATGAGTGTTTATATCCACTAAATATTATGGAAAATAGTACTCATAGCAGCATTCTTCATAATCTCCAAATAATGTAAAAAATACCCATGCCAACCAATAGGAGAGTGAAGAAATAGATCCTGATGTTTTCACACAATGTTATGGTACACAGCATACAGGATAAATCCAGCTCATGGACACAGTGATGGTGAAAAGAAGAAATACTCAAAAGAGAAAATGCTTTGGGGCTCCAATTATGCCCATTCATAACCAATTAAAAACTAATCCCTAGGGAGAGAGTCTAAACGGTGGCTCCCACTGCAGGAGGAGCTACTGACAAAGACAGGGTGACAGAAACTGCCAAGGTGCTGGAAATATTGTAAATTTTGACCTAGATGAAGAATTCAATTTGTAGAAATGTAAAAATTTAAGCTGAGCCCTTCAAATTTGTACTTATTATTGTATACATAAGATTTTTTTTTTTACTTTGAGAAATTTTAAACAAAAAAATATTAAAGTCAAGTGTAAGCATCTCTTCCAAACATGAGATAACTCCAAGAAGCCTGGCTTTACAAGTGGGGCCAACACAAGTTACAGGGTGTTGTAAGTGAAAAAGCATTTTGTCTGTTTCCCCCAAGTGTAAGCAATTTGACTACACTTTGTTTTTTTTTGTTTAAACTTATATTCACTTTCTGGTTTTGTATTGAGCACACTTTCTATGTTGAATACAGAGAAGTTGAAGGCACAGACAAAGCAGAGATTTTTTTAAAAAGCAAGTTCCCTGAGAACACAACAGGTGTGATGCAGGCACTGGCAAAGACACTGACTGTGACTAGAGGTAAGATCTCCTCCACAGAGGACAAGAGAAGCCAGGTATGAGACTGCGCAGATCAATCTTTAAGAACATTAAATACACATCCTATTTTTAACATGAAATTAATTATATACTGAAACATCAGCTGCTGGGGAAGTGCTGAAAATCTGAAACACATCTGAGTGGCTGCAGGATCTGGTGCAGGGACAAGAGCTGCCCAGAGGAATGGGGCAGATGTGGGGAGACCTGTTAAGAGCCTCGGGTATGGCTCAGGCAAAAGATGACGAGAGCCTGGACTAGGGTGCTGGTGAAGGAGCCAAGAAAAGCAGTGGAAGTGATGGACTCAGGAGATATGGATTATTTAAAATGAGCAGGACTAGGGATGAATGGATGCTGGGTTTGATGAAGTTAGGTGGAGTCCAGGAGCTATGTGGCATGTGTCCAGCCTTCTAACCTGCTCGGATAGTAAGACATTCTCTGAACTGAGTGTCTTTTTAGGCATCAGGAGCTAAAGGTGCCTCTGAGACACTGAAGTGGAGATGTGGGATTGAGGGAATGGGAAGGGGGGTATTTGGAACACAGGGTTGCAGATGGGGCTGGCCAAGAAGCCCAAGGGGAGAGCCCATGACTCAGTGGTGATACAAATCCACAAGGCAGATGACTCTAGCTACACTCATCAGCACATATGTAGGGCAGGGAAGTCCAAATGTCACATTAGTGTTTTTCAAGACAAGAGGGGCAGGAAGACATGGGGCAAAGGGCTGCTTCCGAGTCTCTGATGGTCTAACTGGAGGATGCATGAGTGGATGGAGAAGGTGGAAAAGAGTGGAATTCAGGGCATAATGCCGACAGTAATATCAAGGGGAGGAAAATCCCCTTTCTCTGAGTCCAGAAAGAAATGTGTGACACTACATTTATGATGATTAAAACTGTTCATGCATAATACCAACTAGCTGACATTTGTTGATCCTTTGGACCAAGAACTAAGCAGTGTCATGCGTTATCTCTACATCCTCTAACAACTCAATGACACAGAAATTATCTCACTCCGATTTTTTTTGAGTAGAGGAGCCTGAGGTGATGTAAACCAAATCCATTAATTCTTTTCCATGGGCACACAGCCAGATCACATTTGTCAGTCCTGAGCATCCAGGTGGCCAAACGCCTAGTTCTTGTCAAGATTATGTGGTTGCAAAGTATGTGTACAACGGGGTATGACTTCTCCCCTTCTTCTTGTTCGCCTTCTACCAGCTGGATTGAGCCAGAGCAACCATGAAGATTCCTGTTCACAGCAGAAGGTAACTGTGTCTCTGAATAACTGTGTGGCTCAGTGCTCACCTGAGGATAGACACCATACCCCAAAGTGAGTCAGAAACCACCAGGCCCCCAGGAGGCCACAAGGAACAGTTTCACACAGAAATTCAGAGGTGGTGGTGCCCTCACTTTCGAAGACTGCCATGACTCCACCTGACCAGCTGGTGGCTGCTTACCTGCACAGGTGGGGTGTGAGAGGCCTCTCTTCACTGTCCACAGCTCCTGCCCATGCTCTAGCAGGTGGACCAACTCTGGTTTGGGAACCCGATGCCCTGTTGATAGCAAAAGAAATAGAATAGAGGTAATCTAATGAGAAAATGAAAGTATCTCCATCCTGCCTAGGACTTCATGACAGGGGCCAGACATGAATGAAGCTGCTACCAAAGTAAGCCAAATGCTGATGTGAGACCTGAAAATCAAGTGAGTGAACTGTGTTCCCCATAAAAGTCATACGTTGAAGTCCTAACACCCAACGTGACTGAATATGGAGACAGGATCTTTAGAAGGTAATTAAGATTAAATGAGGCTATAAGGGTGGAGCCTTAATCTGACAGGATTATGGCCTCATATAAAAACCGGAGGAGAGGGAGAGAGATCTATCCTGTGTCCCTCCACCATGTAAGAACACAGCAAGGCAGCCATCTGCAAGTCAGGAAGAGAAGTCTCATTAGGAATCGAACTTGCTGACGCCTTGATCTTGGACTTCCCAGCCTCCAGAAGCATAAGAAAATAAACTCTGGCTGCTTAAACCACTCAATCCATGACATTTTATTATAGCGGCCAAGGAGATAAAGACAGGTACAAATCCCATTGTTGGGCTACAACTGCCATGGAGAGTAGTGCTATCTGTCTACACAACACCCACTGCCCATGACCTCCGTCTATGGAAGCCAACATTGTTCAGGCACACAACACTTTGACAGCCATGGGAAACTGCAAAGCTGAGCTGCTTCCTCCGGAAAGCATTTTCTTTCTTTCTTTTTTTGAAACAGAGTCTCATTCTATTGCTCAGGCTGGAGTGCAGTGCTCAGCGCACTGCAACCTCCGCCTTCCAGGTTCAAGGGATTCTCGTGCCTCAGCCAACCCAAGTAGCAGGGATTACAGGCATGCAAAACCACACCTGGCTAATTTTTGTATTTTTAATAGAGACTGGGTTTTACAATGTTGGTCAGGCTGGTCTCGAGTGCCTGGCCTCAAGTGCTCCTCCTGCCTCAGCCTCCCAAAGTGCCACTGCACCTGGCCCAAGAAGGCATTTTCTAACGAATCTAAATCATTGCTTCTCAAACACCTCATGCTTTCAGAACCACTTGGGGATGCCTGATTCCAACCTCAAACCAAATGAAACAAAATTTCTTCATGTGAGACCTGGGCATCAGTACTTTCAAAATGTGCCCCCCAAAATTCTGGGACCCAGATGGAGCCGAAAACCACTGGCTGAGGCTGGACATGGTGGCTCATGTTGTAATCCCAGCACTTTAGGAGGCCGAGGCAGGAGGATCACTTGAGACCAGGAGATTGAAACCAGCCTGGCCAACATGGTGAAACGCCATCTCTACCAAAAATATAAAACATTAGCCGGGTATGGTGGTGTGTACCTATGGTCCTAGCTACTCAAGGGGATGAGGTTAGGAGGATTGCTTGAGCCTAGGAGGCAGAGGCTGCAATGAGCTGAGATTATACCACTCCAGCCTGAATGACAGGGCAAGACTCCATCTCAAAAAAAAAAACAAAAGGAAAAGAAAAACCACTGGTTGAAATAAATTGGTAAATGCAAGAGTCTTCATTAGGCAGGTGACCAAAGCTGGATTCTCATTGTGAAAAGAAAGCGTTTATTCCAGGGTGGGAGGAGGGACTGACCATGGGGGCCGGCTGCCCCAGTCAAGGCTGCAGCATCCAGCATCCCTGTGAGGAGCCAGCCTGAGGACAATACAGAAGCCTGAACCAAGAAGAAGGAACAAAGAACTCTGACATCCTTGATGGCATCACGGGGCTGCGGCACTGAACAAGCCTGGAGCCAACCACACCTCAGGCTTCTCATCAGGCGAGTTGGTGAATTTCCTTCCAGGTGAAGCCAGTTTGATCTGGTTTTCTGTTATATGCAGCCAAATGCTTTCCACTAGATGTGGTGAGTAAAAGACAGGAGGATTCTGTATGGAAGACCAATGACTGAGGTACAAGGACCCACAGAAATAACAACTGGCAGATTCTGAACCATAGCCCAGGATTCCTTCAGACATGTCACAGTAAGGTCCACCAATGTGTGCTACGTGCCTGGCTTTGAGTTCTGGGACAGGGCTGTGGGAAAGGTGAATCAGACGATCCTTTGGCTCTCCCAAGAGCTGAGCTCCCTGTCACTTTTCACACACTGGTTCCTCCACCTGGAACACTGTTCCCCTCCTCTACCTCCTTCCATCCAGCTAACTCCTACTCAGCTTTCAGGTCTCAGCTCCACTGTCACTTCCTGAGATGCCCTCTTTGGAACACCCACAATAGGTTATGATGTTCTGCTTATTTATTCCTAAATTCCCCTCATTTTTCTTTCTAGAACTTATTTCAGCTGTCATCTATGGATTGATACCTACCTTCCTAAATGAACTCAGAGTGTGCCATCATTTCTAATAACTTCTTTATCCTGACCCATTTTTGTTAAATATTGTATTCTAAAAGGGAACCTTGTTTTGCTGTGGTAAATGAGAAAGTTAGTTTCACTTACTACAAATAGAAGTCTGCAATCACAACAAAATCAAAACAATGCCACTAAGTCCCAGCGAGCCCACGTACCTTTCTCAGGGCTGAGTTGGAGGCTGTCCCCTCTGTTAAAAAAAGAAATGAACTGCACTGGGGCAGTGAAAGGAAAATGAAAGACTCAGCGCTGATCTGAGACTTTATTTTTTTATTTTATTTTTTTTGAGATGGAGTCTTGCTCAGTCACCCAGGCTGGGGTGCAATGGTGTGATGTCGGCTCACTGCAACTTCTTCCTCCCGGGTTCAAGCGATTCTCCTGCCTCAAACTCCCGAGTAGCTGGGATTACAGGCGCGTACCACCGCGCCCGGCTAATTTTTGTATCTTTAGTAGAGATGGGGTTTTACCATCTTGGCCAGGTTGGTATCGAACTTCTGACCTCGTGATCCACCCGCCTCAGCCTCCCAAAGTGCTGGGATTATAGGCGTGAGCCGCCGCACCCAGCCAATCTTAGCCTTTTATGACAACAATTAGCATGCTGGACAAAGAAAGTAAAAGGAATGGCTTTATCACGGTTTCAACCCATGCCATTTGAGGACATTCCTGTGTACTCTCTAAAAACACCTTCTGGATCAACACAGCATGGGTATCCAGCATCAGAAAACAACTAATGGCCATGCAGGCACCCAGATGCCTTTTTACAGATTTTGTTGCTTAGGAAGATATCCGAGGGGCACTGAGGACAAATGTCTTCTGGGGGGCTGCCTGACTCACCCCCTTCTCTAAGAACAGCCCATCACCCATGGCTCCTGCTTAACAGGGCTGTGGCCACAGCTGACCCCACCAGGATAGCCAACCAGTTTCCTTCTTATGCAATCTGGATTAAGGAACTCAGAATGGAATGAGCACTGGAGTGAGGGTTTGTGTTAAAAGGACATTTTCTACCCCAACAATCTCTGATGCAGACAAAGGGAGACCAGTCAGGAAGAGGTGGGACCAGAAAATTGCAGGGTCTGTGAAGAGAAAGGTGGGCAGTTCCAGTGACCTTTTTGCCTGGCCAAGAATCAAGAAGAAGATTAGGGTCCTCCTCAGGGATGAGAGGTGAGCCATTACCTAGTGAAACCAGAAGCCCACAGGTCTCCAGCATCACCTCTCGGTACAGGGTCCTCTGGGTCAGGTCCAGCTGTCTCCACTCCTCCTGGGTAAAGGTCACAGCCACATCCTTGAAGGTCACCAACATCTGGAAAGTTCAACAGAAGTAATGCTATTGGCCTTGTGTTGTCGGATAGGATCAGAACCTGTCACTCAGTCTCTAGTCAATGTGCAGAGAGATCCAGGTCTGAATCAACTAGGTCTCCTTAGGGCTGACTTCCATGCAGGACTCAAAGGGGAGGCAGATACTGCCTTTTGACATAACGCAATTGTGCCTGAGAGAAATGCCTTCTATGGGAAGCTGTTGAAGATGACACAAACAATGGCAGTCCCATGAGGACTATGGGAAGCAGACAGTAAGTGCTCTGGTATATTAAAAGAATGGAGGAAAATGACTGATACTAATCCAACCATGATAAGAGCAACAGCAGCAGCTAAGTGTGGGGGAAAGAAAGATAGATCAGACTGTTGCTGTGTCTATGCAGAAAAAGGAAGACATACGAAATTCCATTTTGATCTGTACTAAGAAAAATTCTTCTGCCTTGAGATGCTGTTAATCTGTAACCCTAGCCCCAGCCCTGTGCTTGCAGAAACATGTGCTGTATTGATTCAAGGTTTAATGGATTTAGGGCTATGCAGGATGTGCTTTGTTAAAAATGTGTTTGCAGGCAGTATGCTTGGTAGAAGTCATTGCCATTCTCCAGTCTCGAGTACCCAGGAACACAATGCACTGCAGAAGGCTGCAGAGACCTCTGCCCAAGAAAGCCTGGGTATTGTCCAAGGTCTCCCCTCACTGAGACAGCCTGAGATATGGCTTACAAGAAGGCAAAGACCTGGCCGGGCGCGGTGGCTCAAGCCTGTAATCCCAGCACTTTGGGAGGCCGAGACGGGTGGATCACGAGGTCAGGAGATCGAGACCATCCTGGCTAAAACGGCAAAACCCCGTCTCTACTAAAAATACAAAAAACTAGCCGGGCGAGGTGGCGGGCGCCTGTAGTCCCAGCTACTTGGGAGGCTGAGGCAGGAGAATGGCGTAAACCCGGGAGGCGGAGCTTGCAGTGAGCTGAGATCCGGCCACTGCACTCCAGCCTGGGCGACAGCGCGAGACTCCGTCTCAAAAAAAAAAAAAAAGAAAAAAAAAAAGAAAAGAAGGCAAAGACCTGTCTGTCCCCGAGCCCGACACCCATAAAGGGTCTGTGCTGAGGAGGAGGAATGAAAGAGGAAGGCCTCTTTGCAGATGAGATAAGAGGAAGGCATCTTTCTCCTGCTCGTCCCTGGGAATGGAATGTCTCTCGGTGTAAAACCTGATCATACATTCTATTTACTGAGATAGAAGACCGCCTTATGGCTGGAGGTGAGACATGCTGGCGGCAATACTGCTCTTTACTACACTGAGATGTTTGTGTAAAGTCAAACGTCAGTCTGGCCTATGTGCACATCCAGACACAGCACCTTTCCTTAAACTTATTTATAACACAGAGTCCTTTACTCACATGTTTTCCTGCTGACCCTCTCCCCACCATTACCCTATAGTCTTCCCACATCCCCCTCACTGAGATGATAGAGACAGTGATCAATAAATACTGAGGGAACTCAGAGACTGGTGCCGGTGTGGGTCCTCCGTATGCTGAGCGCTGGTCCCCTGGGCCCACTTTTCTTCCTCTATATTTTGTGTCTTATTTCTTTTTTCAGTCTCTCATCTCCACCTTGCGAGAAATACCCACAGGTGTGGAGGGGCAGACCCCCTTCACTAAGTCCTCTGGTCCTCACTGTGTCCCTGTCAAGCTAAACCTTCCTTAGCTGTGGTAAAGCAAATAAATCTGACACTTGCCAGCTATGTGACCACGATGATGTCACATGATCTCCCTAAGGATCGATTTCCGAATCAACACAATAATTATTCCCATCTCAGCAGGCAGCTCTAAGAACTAAACAGAAAATGTTTACTTAGGCAATCAGTGGCATGCCTAGCACATGTAAGTGCCTGATGTGTTTGGGAACTTTATTAATCCCTGACAGGCCCAGAGGTAAATGTCGTTATCACTTCCATTTCACAGCCAGCAACCAAAGGCTCAGGGAGCTTTAGAAGTCACGCACAGCTTCATGTTTAAAAAGCAAAAGCAGCATTTGAGCACCACTAAAACACCTCACCAAGCTGCCAGAGGGCAGGCAGGTGGGAGTGAGGGGTGCTTTTAGCTAGAGCCAGCACTGCCAGGATGGGTGTAGAGGGGCAGCCCTGTAGAGACCTGAGAACAATGTCCTAGCCAAAGGGAAGTGCAAGGGCAAAGGCTGAAGAATGGGAAAGAACTTGGCAAGCTCAGGACTCCCTGGATGAATGCAGTGAGAAAGGGGAGAATGGAAGAGCAGAAGGAAGATATGGTCAAAAGGGCAGACCAAGCAGAGCCTTGCAGACCATGCTGGCAGGAGGGGGTGGATTTACTGGAAATGTGATGGGAGTCCCTGAAAGAGAGGCCTATTCAATCAACAACCATTTATTAAGCACAATATATGTACTTAAGCCTGGCTGTTCTGAGTCTTGGGAGAGGGAAGCAACAGGCACTCACATTCTAGGGTTGGAAAAAGATCGTAAACAGGCAACTAAATAAATGAGTAAGGCAATGTCAGATGGCCTTAAAGATTCAGATGACAAGGAAACAGAGCAAGGAGACCAAAGAGATTTGGTCAGCTTTAAACAGTGCAACAGACGAGGCCTCTTTAAGCAGCGGACACCAGAGGGAGTCGGAAATAAAGCGAGGGAGGGAGATGTGGATGAGAAATCAACTACTACGACAGGAGCTGACAGTAATCTGGGCTATCATGAAAGTCGTCAGGGTGACTGCTAGAGAGTAACCCTGGGCCTCATGTGTTATCTCCAAAGGGACACCACATCCTACATACCATCACCTCTGAACATTTTAATGGACTCGTTTTTCACCTGTAACTAAATGTCTTAAACAGGAAAATATACTGTTAGTTGCAACCCAGCGTCACTTGCCCCAAACTGAAAGACAAATTCCTCAGCCTGCCCTGCCACCTTTTCTGCCCTGGCTTAGCAGCAACTGCAAAAACGCTCCTCCCACCTCCTTCAGCCGCTGCCCTTCGTTTTGTAGAGACAGGAGGCCAAGGAGGCCAGAGGGTCAGACTCCTGCTGGGGTTGAGTTTCTAAACCTAGCACAGGCCCAGGGAGCATCTCCGGAAACAACATCCTGAGCGACGTCCCCGGACCGTGCTGTGCACTGCAACGGACGCACAAACATCACCCAGGGAGCCGTTCAAGCTTCCTCAACCCAGGGGGGAAAGAGTAAATATTTCTACTTTCCGCGTGCAAAAATGAAGGACGAGGACAGTAACGGGACTTGTTCAAGGTCGCAGGCCCGGAAAAGGACACGGCTGGAAGTCACAAGGAGGACCGCGGTCGCTCCTCTTACCTGTGAGGTGTTCCGGGTCCCTAAAAGCCCTATTGCACACCCCAACGCCGCACCCCAGAAACGGGGACGCTCCCCACGCCACCCCGGCGCTGCATTCCGGACTCAGGGCCGCTCGACCCCGTTCTAGGCCTCTGAGAAGCAACGGCAGGGACTGCACTGCGGAGGATCCCGAGACGCCGTCTTCCCGCTCGTGGGGCCCTGCACGCTGAGGCCGGCTGGCCGCGGGAGCCGAGCCCATCTGCTCACCTGCGCTGCGTCCTTCGCCTCTGCCATCCGACCGTTGGCAGGACGAGGCCGCGTGGGGCAGCTCCCACGGACTCAACACCCTACCCCGGGTCCTACAACGGTGCGGAAGTGAGCCCCAGTCTCCCCACCATCCTTCCCAGCACAGTTCCGAGAGTGAGGACCAACGCGCCACCCCACAAACGTCCACGCCAGCGAGGCCAGAAGTCCCGCCCCTGTGTCGCGACCGCCTGTCACGCCTGTTCCTGTGCCGACGTTGGTCCGGCGCACGCGTTGCCCCACTACCTTCTGGGTAATGTAGTCTTGTCCGGTGACGGGCCAGGCTTGGCTCTTTTTCCATTTTTATGATGCACAGCATGATTGTGTATATCTCAGATGATCTTAGTGGAGCAAGTGTACACACTGGATTGTACATTTTTAAAACTTCCTATTGCTCGGATGCCTCAACGTCCCTGCAAGCAAGCTATGAGCACTCGCCCAGGCACCCAGGTGAGCGAGTTTGATAAAGGGGACCCTGCCTCGAGGTTCCCTGCTTGCCTCCTCTGAGTGACCCAGTGACATTCCCATGTACCAGTAAAATCTTACGCCTGGTTACTGCGTCCTCCTCCACCCTGACCCCAGGCACTGTCCCTGGGACTGGCGTCGATCTGGATCCCCGTTCCTGTGTGGAGCCACTTCCGGGACGTGCTCATGGGGTTCCCTCTGTGGGACGTCTGCGTCCTCTGGGAGGACTGGTGTTGCCCAGGGCTCGGGAAGGTCTCCAGGGGCCGTGAGACCCCCCCCCACTTCCGGAGCCCAGCTTCTTGACACCATTGCGAGAAAGAATTCAGGGACAAGTCAAAATGAAGCTAACGGCGAAAAGCTTTTATTGAGAAGGAAAAGTACACATTTCTGAGAAGAGTGTACTTTTCCCAAGAGAGGAGGGAAGTGCGGACGAACGAGGGAGAGCGGGTCATGCACAATGGAGTTTGGGTTTCTAATTTTATGGGCTCTTCTAATTAGGGGGTGGAATAATCATGAGGTTTTCCTAGGAAAAGATGGAAATTTCTTAGAATTGGGGTTCCAACCATCTTTATACTAAATGTGGGCGTGCTTGGCTTGGCCTGGCACTGGTGGATGTGTGATTTAATGCGGCGATAAGTGTATAATTAGGTCTGGGGTAGGAAATAGGTCAAATCTAGCATCATGGGGCAGCCTAGCCCCCGTCCAGTTTGTTAAGGTCTCATCAACCCAGTCCCCTTGTTGGGGTAGCTAGTTTTAATAGCTTGATGTTTTCCCCCTTCTCCTGTGACCACACAGCATTCCTATTTTGTGAGTGTTTCTTTAATTAGAGAGTGGAATAATTATTACGTATTCTGGAAAAGGAAGGAAATTCACGGATGCACCTGGTTACTGCCCCCTTTCTCTCTTATTTGATTTTGCCCAGAAGAGTCATGGACGTGTCATCCCCACTGGGATTTTGGCCATTCTCTCTCTTATTTTGGGTTTTCTGTTATCCTGTGGTTTATTTGCCTAGTTCTTGTTTTTATTTGTTGTTTGAACTTTTCCATCATCCTGCAACCACCCAGTGCTATTCCTATATCACTGTGAGTATAAACATCCTTTAACCTTATAGGCTTCTTGAAGTATAATTCCCAAGACCATGTTGCAGTGGTCCTTAAAGAACAAATAAGGCAGAGAGAAACAAACATGTTCCAAATTTTGTTCACAGAAGTAAACCTTACTCTATTGTTAAAGGTTGTAGCTAGCTCAAAAGAGGTTTCCTTGACTCTGAAAAACAAAACATGGATCAGCAATGTTCCAAGAGAAAGTCAAAAATATTATTTTAGTTTTTCTATTAGTTCAGCCTATTCTGTTAACTGTTGTTCTGCTTGATATTTATAAACATTTTAGCTTTTCATGAGTCCTGTATGTTTTTCAGTTATCAGAAACCTGCATTTAAGAATACGTGTTAAAGTCCTACATCTGATTATGAACCATATTTTGAAGAGGATTAAAACAAGATAACAATTGTCTGTAAATTACAAAATGTCCAGAGTGGTTAGTCAAAAACATGATTGACCAAAAAATTTGGTTATCTCTGTGGTTTACAATAACTTAACATAACAACCTTAATTGTGGTTGATAGCATATACTTTGACATTAGAATTTTCAAAATCCTGTGCAATTTTGGAACACATATTAACAGTATTTGCTGAAATATAACCTGAAGAAGATTAGACATCATTTTGGCAATCCCATGTAACTAAACATGTCAAATAATTCTGCTTACCTCTTTTCTGGATGCCCCCGGGGGCCCTCTGTAGCATCCAAAAGCTAGGTATCAGGAAAGACAATTGATTTGTGGAAGTCTGTTAAATATGTTAACAGGCTTAAAATATTTGATGTTATGTAATAGAATTCCAGATTACTATGTTATTTATTTTGCCAAAATGATGACTCAAAAGTTTGAAAAAGCAAAAACCTTTCATTAGCTGTTACTATTACATGAAAATTGTGTTCAAGAGAGAGAAAGTCAAATTTCACCCTTACATTGGTGTACTATTAATGTCAACGACAATTTTTTTTTTTTTTTGAGACGGAGTCTTGCTCTGTCGCCCAGGCTGGAGTGCAGTGGCCGGATCTCAGCTCACTGCAAGCTCTGACTCCTGGGTTTATGCCATTCTCCTGCCTCAGCCTCCCGAGTAGCTGGGACTACAGGCACCCGCCACCTTGCCCGGCTAGTTTTTTGTATTTTTTAGTAGCGATGGGGTTTCACTGTATTAGCCAGGATGGTCTCGATCTCCTGACCTCGTGATCCGCCCGTCTCGGCCTGCCAAAGTGCTGGGATTACAGGCTTGAGCCACCGCGCCCGGCCGTCAACGACAATTTTTAATGAAACCTTATAGGCAGTTCTATCCAATCTTAACCAATTTGACAATGAGGTGAGATTTTCACAAACCTTTTATAACTCTTTACAAATTTTGCTAGAGTAGATTCGTGCATTAAGAATTACTTCTTGTGCTTTTATATCAATGCTCAATTTACAGAAAATCATATAATACCCTTTTGAATTTTGTCAATATGTTCACACAGAGTTTCCTTTGCAAGATTAATTCTTACAATTTTGCCCCAATTTGCTTAAACCTTCAGCTGTATTTTATCTACTTTAAAAAATTATTTATCCCTAGGCAAAATGTACATTGCCATGCCTTCTTATAATTTTTTATAAAGAACACATTTTGCTGTTTTTACACACCTTGCATGTAAATCTATTTCAGTAGTCTCAATTACGGGTCATAATGGTAACTCTTAGCAATTTTTTTTTTAAGACAGTCTTGCTCTGTCACCCAGGCTGGAGTGCAGTAGCACAATCTCAGTTCACTGCAACCTCCACCTCCCAGATTCAAGCGATTATCCTGCCTCAGCCTCCCAAGTAGCTGGGACTACAGGCACGTGCCACCACACCAGGCTGATTTTTTGTATTTTCAGTAAAGATGGGGTTTCACCACATTAGCCAGGATGGTCTCAATCTCCTGACCCCGTGATCCGTCTGCCTCAGCTTCCCAAAGTGCTAGGATTACAGGCGTGAGCCACCACACCTGGCCCTACCTCTTAGCAATTTTTAACTTTAATGTAAAACCTGATAAGTTGTTTTAATTATGTGCTAGGTGCAGATAAAGTTTAACTCCTTCCAGAATAAGTTAGGTGCATGGTTACTTCCATATGTCCCCAGACTTTACCCATTGTGAAGCAGGCAAGTTGAACAGTTCTTAAAGGCCAAAGGAGCAGTACAATCTTAAAACATTTAGCAAACCTAGTATCTGACCTGCGTAATTTAGACCACATATTTACATCCTGAATACATTTGTGTTTTACCAATAATCCCTAAGACTGTTTTAGTTTTAAAGATTAAAGTCACATGAACTAAGAGGAGTTACAGTTTTTACTATTCTTTCAAAAAATATTTGATCGGCCAGGTGCAGTGGCTCACACCTGTAATCCCAGCACTTTGGGAGGCTGAGGCGGGTGGATCACGAGGTCAGGAGATTGAGACCATCTTGACCAATATGGTGAACTCCCGTCTCTACTAAAATGCAAAAAATTAGCCAGGCATGATGGTATGTGCCTATAATCCCAGCTACTTGGGAGGCTGAGGCAGGGCAATCACTTAAACCTGGGAGGCAGAGGTTGCAGTGAGCCAAGATCGCACTACTGGACTCCAGCCTGGTGACAGAGTAAGACCCTGTCTCAACAACAACAACAAAAAATTGATCTAAGTGCTTATAAACCAATCATTTAGAGCTCTTTTTTATAGACATCACACAACACATATATGACTACACAGACAGACAGAAGAAGATCCAGAAGCTCAGGGTGGAGCCCTTTAAGAATAAGGCTATGAAAGCATGTAGTTTCTGGGGCCTAATAAACAGGCATAGCTTGAAGGCAAAAACAGATTTTGAGAGGGATTTATCCATCTCTAATTATTGGGGTTCCATGAGGAAAACAGAGATTTCCCCCAAACTGAATCTGTGGCACCTTGTCTGTTTTCTCAAATAGTCCAAGGCCACCAGAAGTCATCCTTGAGCCTTTCATGCATGCATGAAGATTGGCAAGACAGAGTGGAGAAAAGTAAGTCAGTTGACTGAGATACAAAACTTTTCCAGAAAAAACAAGATCTAAGAAGAGAAAAACATAAAGGTGTTTCAAGTACATCTATAACTTGGGTATCCACTTTTAATTAAGCTGAGTGCTCTTTCAGAAAATTCTTCTTCATTAATTAAAACTTTACAGATAATATAAACAGTGATCCTTATCATTTTTTTTTTTACTGGTGTGCATCACTCTCTGTTGACAATCATGTTCAGCTTCTCCAGTTTACTTTTGGAGAACGTGGCTGGGTTCAGGCAACGACAGGTTTTTACTGGACTGTAAATCCCTTTAACAGCAAAGCCTGATATTTGAGGAGGCGATTGTCTGTTAGCCAGAGACTTACCTTAGAGGATAGCAGTCCTGCTATATTATGTGGGGTCTAAACAGTTATTTTCTGGCTGGGCTTGGTGGCTTACACCTGTAATCCCAGCACTTTGGGAGGCTGAGGCAGGTGGATCACAAGGTCAAGAAATCAAGACTATTCTGGCCAACATGGTGAAACCGCATCTCTACTAAAAATATGAAAATTAGCTGGGCATGGTGGTGCATGCCTGTAGTCCCAGCTACTCAG